TTAATATGTTGTTGATATGTATGTTTTTACGTAATTAACAAAAACATGCATTCCGATTCTTTTGTCTAGGTACTGTACATGTAATTTTGGTATAAAAGACGAGATTATTGGTTTCCTTCCTATAAGTTTCGTAAAATATTTTACAATATTAATATTAATATACTACAAATATTTTCCAACAAAATGACATCTTCCAATAATGGGTAAAGTTTATTTTTTCCAATGAGTAAAGTTTATTTTTTACAATCTTTTATTTTAATTTAATTCTTCATGCCCTCTTCTTCCTTAGAGTAACGAGAGCTATTGGCACTGCCACCAACGCTATTAAGGGCCAAATCGAAAATACAGCAGATAAAGTTAGAGAAGTCATTAAAGATCACCCTCTCGCTTCACTTGCCGTTGCCTCTGTAGCTACAGCCGTAACTCAAGCTACTGCTAATCGCTTTATTGGTTCGTCAGCTGAGGTCGTTTGTAAATGCATTACCAATTGCACCTGCGGATAGCGATAAATTAATTTTATAACTAAATAATCTTTCTTGTACACGAGGGACTGCAATTAATTTATGTATTATATCGAATTTATTTTATATCAACAAAGAATTCAGACCTATTATTTTTTTATTTTTATTCGCATCATGTAACAATGATATATTTTTTACGTCCTTCGGGCTATATTTTTTTCTTTTTCTTATTGTTTGACAATATTTTTTATTTCGTAAAGTAAAGCAAGGTTCTTTAGGACCATGATTTAATGTATGACTACAACTGAAACCATACATATGAGAGTTAGTTAATGTATTAGTTATATATATAAGGACAAGCTTTATTAGTTTTGCCTTTACGTAGCATTTTTATAAAAACAGGTGTGGGTTTTCTACTCTTTCTGCAAAATCACTTATCCTTGGTATTACACCAAATAATCTTACAAAATGACTATCAAATGGACAGATAACCAACTCGCCTCATTATTGACGAGCGCAAAAATAGGAATGCTAAATATTACGACATTCTGAGAGGGAGAAAATTTGATTTTTGAAATAGTATTTCGAAAAAAAAAATAAATCAACACTTTAGTATATAGATTTTAATGTAAAGAGAAGTTCTTGCATCTTGTTAAAGATCACAACGTGAGTAATGTAAATTTTTCTCCTTTTCCCTCTCATGTTCGGAATGTGTCATAATTCAGAAAAAAAAAAAGTTAAAATACATTTCCCGAAATCTATGTTGCTTGAGATATGTTGGAACTTGTCTAGAAAATTCAGAAGAAGCTACTTGTTTCAAAACTTTTATTTTTCCGTGGTGAAATTTTTTTTTCTTTGTAAGATATAATTTCCATTCGAGATGCCAGAAATATTTTCCAACGTCACCTTAGAAAAAGGTTAATAATGAATTAAAGATGGGCTCCCAAAGGAGATTTCCAACTACAATTCGAAAGAGAACAGAAAGAGCTCGAAAGATTTATGACCTTTTTTCCCATATTAACGATAATAAAAATCAATGGATGATATATATCCAACGAATAAAAACATTTACGGCATCATCTATTTCGAATTTAAGTTTGGACAATATCAAATATGTAGCATCTCAGGTTAGAAAGGATACTGGAACTTAAATTTTCTTTAAGTATGTGATGTTATAAGGCAATCGTGACACTGGGTCACGGTCTATAACTTTGGCAATTTTTTATATCATATAAATAAAGTTTGATTAACCAATTGCATATAAATTTCCAAATGATTTAATCGTGTCAATGGGGCTGTGCAATGAAAAATTATTTTTAGAATTTCAATGTGTACAACACATGATCATGTACCCTTTTTGATTATAAAAAATTCTCTTGCTACTCATAAACTCTCTAAACTGCAACACCATAGCTTTGATGGCAGGAATTAAAGTCAGCTCATATTTTATCAATATATCACCTGAAGAATGGAAATTTTCCGAGTTTTACAAGTATCGCCAGCAAGAAAATGACTTTACCAGCTCGTTTCGGAAGGAAGCTTTTATACTTAGGAGATCTCTCGATTATCTTATGAAAGAAGGCTCATCAGAAGTCAAGAATTATGCTACTCTATTGGATAAAAATTTCAAGGTACGTAATGTTTGTTGCTGAGGGCCTTAAAAACGGTTTAGAGCACTCTCTACGACTAGAAGAGAAGTCTTCGTGCCGTCTCTTTGATGATCTTCGTGTTCGTCATAGAACTTTTATGGAGGTGATAAACTCACATAGCTATGGAGAATATCTTCGCGCTATTCTCCTGATGATCTTCATGTTCGCTGTGGTCCACATATAATATTAACATTAAAAGACCTCTTACTTTGTGGCCAAGGCTAATAATCTTCTATTTGTGTATTGAAAGGGTCATCGTACAAGTGATATGGATTCAAAGTTATTCTGGGACAAGATCGAGTTACAATTAGATTTTCATGCTGAAATTGAAATGAGAGAGAGGGAGATGCGGTTAGCCAAGGTTTGCAACATTTTCTGTTATTTGATTCAAAGAGGTTATATACATAACTGTTAACTGCATCATTTCTCCTACAGGTTGGGACAGCAACTGGCATTATGAAAAGGATTGATGGAGCTCTGGTATGGATAAAATTGTGCATGATACTGACTAAGACGGTGTACTCATTATTGTATTCTCTATATTATTAAGAATGAACGTTTCATTCAGACTGATGAACGGGTCCAAACGAAACGGAAAAAAATGGACCAACCACCACATCCTCCTCCAGATCAAATCTATTCGTGAGGTGCTTCGTCAAATGCTTTCATCCCCCTTGGATCCAGGAGGTAATTATATTCTAATTCGCAATAATGTCCTTTATAAGCCATTTTGACGTGTCATAACACAAGGATGAACCATAACAGTGCGATAATGAAAAATCACATGTTCAAGAGTTCTCAGATTCGAATGATGGGCGAATTTATAAAGAGATTTATGATGATAACATTAACGATAATGCTGAAGAAGATATCTATCTAAAAAGCATCCATTTATCTCAGGAGGTAACAATGCTTATTTGCATAATTTTAAGATTACAGCATACCTTATCTGACCTATGTTCTATCTTCACAGACTTTACAGAATGTAATGGAGGAAATCCGTAAAATAGTCGAAAAAATAAGATCTATAGAATATCGTCTATTTGATTATCGAATCATTAATCTTTCAGAACGAAATGTTACAAATCCCGTTAATAAGTTGTCAAAATCCGAAAAGCGCATCTTAAAAGATATTTGGAACTCGGTATTGTATTGTTTGCTTGTAAGTTTAACATCTCATGTTGAAAATTTAATAATTTTGCTTGCCCTTCATAGTTAGAACCGTCAGGAAAAGTAAAGACGATTCGCCTAAATAAATGGGAAAAT